CAACAATCTGACACTGAAACTGAAGAATCATTATCATCATCATCATCCAGTGCCAGATCCGCGACAGACATCGGCGACCATGGTTCTCCATTCATCCCTTTGCTCGGATGCTCTAAAACAAAAAGCTACGTTTCCCTGATGTTTCCCTGTTACCCACTTGTTTAGGTTCCCTGAGTATGCCGTTCTGGGCCTTCCCATGCCTGCCTCGCTTGCCCTCAATTATGAAGAATCATACACTGTCAAAATTATCCAAGAGAGCCATCCAATGTCGAGGAGAAAAGTGGTTGTCTTAGACAGGTGGGCATCTTGAACAGAGCTTATAATAATATATGTGAGGTAGTGCAGTGGAATCAGGCTCTCGTCAAAATAACCAAAGTGAAGAAACTTGCATTTTTCCGCAGTTTTAGGAATTTTCTTTTCAATTTTTTGTTTGTTTTTTTGCTCCAAACCTTTCATGCCCATTAAAGAACTCATCTATTTGTGGATTTTTCTGAAAAACGTTGATTAAAGGCACAAGAAATGTCGATTTTCAGTTACCACGGACTCTTACGCTAAGGAAAAACTAATCTTTGGCGGCCATTTTCTCACTAATTTTACCTCTGAAAACAGGTGACCCCCACCTCCTTCATTCGCAAATATCCCGACTAGTTTCCAAGATAAATGAATATTTTTTCAATCCAAATAAAGACAAGTGAACAAGCTGTAAGATGATACCAATAGCTCTACATGCCCAAAAATTGACGAGAGTCTGATTCCACCACGCTGCCTCACATATTTTTTTTAAAGCCCAAGTGGGTATGTGGTGAGCGGCCTTTTACTTTTGCACAGTTCATAATCTGGGACATGTGTCACTACAGTTTCACTTTTCGTGGAATGACCCCTAATGTTAAAAAGGAGGACAAAGGAACTGTATTTTAGACCCGAACAACAAATAGTAGTATAAAAATGGGAAAACCTTTTCTTTTTTGTTTTCAAAACTAAAAATTTTTTTCCCAAGTAAAGACAAAATCTCTTTTAGATAAAGCTAACAGTGAATTAGAAACAGTTCAAGTATATAAACATTCACACACACACACACACACACACACACACA